CATCAAATTCTTTCGACAAAATTGAGAAGCTGAGACATAGAAACAAGTATTAGCAGGTTCTTCTATTCTTCGATACATTACATAATAATCAAGCATTATAAGTGGTTCTAACAATGGAGATTACCATTATTTGAACTTTTTTCGAGCATGAACTTATCGATGATATCAAAATGAGTCACATTGAGAATGATATTTGGCTCCACTCTGGACATAAAGTCATTGTTCTGCTCAACAATTCCGACCATTCATCCATACGGAACACACAAATATGGAAAAGAAAAAACAGTCCCTATATAACACGGGACATAAGGTCATTGTTCTGCTGTACGTGGATAAGATGTGTATAATTGCATTTATGGTTAGAGTTGGTACTTGGTAGCTATGGTAATACAAACTGTTTGTCGATTAGATAAGAATCATAAGATGTATATTCGGTTTGATGTTACGTATTATATGATTTTTACTTATTTGACTTAAACTTGAGTCCCTCGGGTGAAGGAATCTTGTAGTTTAAACTTTAAGTACCAGCTTGGGATTCATAATCTTGAATCAATTCCTTTTTTCTGCAACTATTTTGTGATTTGATTGTGTATATAAGCTAGCTTACGAATATCACAAATTATATAGTCTTTATTGCTATGCTTTATAAACACCAACTTGGATTTGTGTTGTTGAGTCTTTGCTTTTTTATTGATTGCCTTTATTGTGAACTTTGAATTTGAGATAGTAAAATGGGATATTGACTTGACTTGAAGATATAAATTTAGTGGAGCAGTTGTGTTTTCGTTACTTCTGTTGTGGTAAAATCCTTGTATATAGAAATTTTAAACTTCATCACTAGCATATGATCTAAAATGGTAATTATACTATAACTTCACATCCGTTGTGTAATTTTTCTTTTTTTTCCATTTCTTCTTCTTTTGTCAAAGCTTTTCTTTGTATAATGGTTCCTTTGGAGCTCTGGATATTAATTTGAGGAAGTTGAATCAAATATAAAACTTCAAACCAAGTGAAAGAAACTATCACAGAGAAATATAGTGTTATGATGTCACATTAGAAGTGCGAAGTAACTAACACTAATATATAGAGGATATAAACAACTTTATAGTCAATTGGTTTTGAATTAGAAAATCATGATTTCTACATGATATGAAAATCTAGTAAATCCAACAAGTATAACTGATCCAAAACAAAGTGATATTCGGTCCAAGAAAATAT